CAAAGGTTAAGTTAGGTTAGGTTTAGGTTAGGTTAGGTTTAGATTGGGTAAAATTAGTTTTTTAGTATAATTATACTTTTGCAATGACCAACTATCCGATAACCGACACGAAATTCCGTTACGGCCCATTTGATGACGTCACAACTTGACCTTGAGTTTGTCGATGAAGTAAGCTATCTGCTATCATATAGGTTATGCGCAAGGAAGAGCATATTCTATGTTTTACAGGCTCTGCTCGAAGTGCCAACATGATAAGAAAGACGTCAAGGAAGGCGACAGAATGATCCGAGAGGTTTCCGAATGATCATTATTCTGAAATTGTGCGAAAATTGAAACGAAAAATCATTTCTGTCGTTACCATGTCAACGTAAATTAATAAACAGTCCGAACCTATCATTCAGACCACAGTCAAGGAGGAGGTAACCGGCTTAAAGTTAAGTAGTTTAAAGCTTCAATCTACTATCCTACGGCAAGTCACCGAGTGTTTTGGCACTCGCTCACTACGCTCGTAAAACGCCGTCGCTTTGTTCCGCTAACTTAAAAATATCCTAGGTTTACGCGCTACAGTCTAGGAGGAGGTCACAGGTCTAAAGAAAAGTAAAATTATTTGTGTTGCAAAAACATGATAATTATCGCAAACACAAATCAAAATGAATCATACAAGGAACATGATGAAGATGGCACACAAGTCCAATATTTGAGAAATTTGGCTCATAATATCTAATTATAACTGTAAATTACATTATACCAAAATACAAAATAATTTATAAGTGATATCAGAGAAGATATTCTTGTTTTTTTTTTGGAAAAATGTCCATATATCGCCTGAAGCGGATGAGGGGAGGATCTTTTAAACCTACTTAACCTCCGAAATTACTGGCTCGATTTCGTTCAGATTTTTTAAATATATTAATAATTCTTCTAGAAAGGACAGCAAGACGTATTCGCGTAAATGTCTGTGGTTGTAGATCTGACTAAAACCTAATCGTTTTTTTTCTTTACATTTTTTAGTAAGTTTAACTTAATTATTCAAATTTAGTGGATTGAGTTATCGCAAATGTATAAATGCTAAAAAAACACAGATAAAGTTATCCGCTTTAATATACTGAATGGTGTACAGTGTGTTCCATTTAACGTATAAGACCCATTTTCTTGGAAAATAATAACAATTAAGTAGTTTTTTTAAAAACCCTTTTTGTTTATATATATTTTAAAATTGTTTAAACATTTTTTAAATATTTCTTCTTGCATGTTGGTTTTCATGGGAATAATTAACATAGCAGGGTCCTGCTTCTTTCCATGTCACAGTGTTACAGAAGGAGATTCTTCTTGTAAGCGTTATTGATCGTACCGATGTTTGTCTTGCTGACTGTCGCCACAATCATCTAATAATGAAGCTGCTGCTCTTCATTGTGGCTATTGTGATGCTGTTGCATAGGGCGATAGGGACGCCATATTCTCTACGCCATTACCTACTGGAATCATCTGTTTGGGACTTTTCGCCAGTAGGAGCTCGGGTGCCCCGGGTACGCTATACCCAAAGTATAAAATATTTCCCCTGGGATAAACAAATATTTACCTTTTTTAAAAATATTTTCCAGTACACTATCAGCTTTTGAAACTTAAATGGAAATGTCTTATTTAATTAACTTTAAAACAAAAATAATATGCTAAAAATGTTAACTCGTTGTTAGTTTGTCGATAATCAGTTTTGAATAATTACCATTTTTTTTCTTATGAAAAAAAAATAACATTTTTAATTACTATTAAGTGAAGTAATATTTTTATCTACGCGCATCTATTTCTCAATCGCACTTCACCTTCCATCTTAAATTTTAAACTATAATAACTTTGAGAGTAATTATTCAAAACTGGTTATTGACCTATCCAAATTTTCAGCAAATTATTAAGTTAATTTAATATTGTATAAGTTTCAAAAGTTAATAGCATTAGAAAATGCTAAAAAAAGTAAATATTAATTAATTTTATAATATTGTATCAACATCCAAATAAAATGTTCTAAAAAAAAAAACTGAAGAACTGTAATTACTTTCTAATAAAACGAGTGTCATACATTAAATGAATCGCCAGGATTATTTAAAATATTATGTACCTACAAAGAAATATCGCAATACTCTCTGTAAACAGTTTTTCCAAAAAATAGATCATATCATAAGTGCAAATCATTTGTTTGTCCAACACTAATAATAGTCAATTGGTTGGTAAATTATACTTGACAATTCGGCTGTTTAAAAAATGAAAAACAGAAACTACTATTTAGAAAATTGTATAAAAAACCATTACCTACATTGATAGGCCGCCACGCCGAGTTGTTGTGGTGTGCTGTCAAAATAATAATACGTATACCGTATTTTCTAGATAATTTTTTGATATCACAATGACTTGGCGATATTTTGATGTGTATTAATTGTTTTTATTATACAATTTCCTTAATTTTTTTAATAATATTATGTCCAAAAAAGTGATGTTTTATAAGAAATAGTCTAGTTAAAATTTTAAAATATGATATTGTGTCTAGTTTTTAAATGTTTTAATATTTTGTTCGTATTAATAAAAACACATGCACAACAGGTCAAAAGGTGATAGAATAGGCATAGTATAGAGTATAGACCTGAAAAATTATTTAGGTCATTATAATAATTATAAAAGACCGAATGTGTAATCAAACTCTAAAAAAAACACTTCGATGATAATTAGGTAAAAAAATAAAAAAATAAAAAAAAAAACTTTTTTAAAAACATGTTTTTCTGAAAAATAGTAAAAAGCGAACTAAAAAGTAAAAAATAAGTTTATTACAAAAACAATTTACCAATCAATTGTAGCACATTTTATTTAAAATGACAATTACTTTTAAAACAATCGAAAAGTAACTACAGTTTTAAATAATGTTAAACATCTTTATATTTTACTAAAAAGAAAATCGTGGGCCCTATTCAACAAAGTCCGTAATAAATTTATCAGATAATGTTTTATATTTACAAGTTCTTTAATAATTTAAATTTGGTTCAATATTTGTGTGTGACACAAACATTTCATAATACTTAACTCAATGTATTTGGACTTTGTTGAATAGGGCCCACGCTTTTCTTTTTAGTCAAAAACTAAAGATGTTTAACATTATTTAGAATTGTAGTTACATTTCGGTTGTTTTAAAAGTAATTGACATTTTTAATTAAATGTGCTACAATTGATTGGTAAATTGTTTTTGTAATAAAATTATTTTTTAGTTCGCTTTTTACTATTTTTTAGAAAAGCATGTTTTTAAAAAAGTTTTTTTTTACTTTTACTTTTTAGGCCTATTAAAGGTACTTATAAATTGGTGAATAGATTGCTAAATTAATTTTGGAAGATTTGAACACAAATGAAATTTTAGTGAAATGACCCCCATACTTGACATATTTGAAAAAAATACAGATTCGACACTTTCAGTATCTTTTAAATGTTAGAATAAACTCGATACCGAGTTATAGGTTTTCATTTCCATACACTGCAGAAACACATAGGCACGGGCGCTTGTGTGTTTTGAAAGTACCTACGTTTTAACGTGACCTGGACCTACAATAGGTTTGAACGATGTATCTATATTCATTACTACTACTTCCTTATTATAAAACGAATAAAAGTGTTTTGTATAGACAGATGCTATGCGTATACGAATACCTAATTTTATTGATTTTACTCTATTTTTCCTTTTATGCTGATTTCACCAAACTACCGTACGGTGTACGGTTTTCTTGACATTCGAAGAAAAAATTAAGAACTATGGAGAATTTTACTTTCTAAACACGTTCGCTTCAAAAAAAAAAAAGCAATGCTAATAAAAATACAGGAACACGTACAAGTGTATAGGACATGGGTTGCAGTTAGTCGATGCGCGAATGAGTATACAGAATTCCTACACGACTATATAATATCACGTGCGATTTTTAAAAAATCTACCTTCCTATATCGGGTAACCTATCCCGTTCCAGCTGTTATATAGACACCGTACCTGTCCAGTGTATTAACATAATCAGCATAATATTTATTACCGCGGTTACGCCATTATATCTCTTCGGCTAATAACAATTTTTCTACTGTATCGGTGGTTGTTTGTAAACACAGTGAGCACGCAACGATAGTGGACAAGGCCCCGGGCGCGGCGCCTGCACGACTAAATCACCTTGGCCCAGAGACCCGGCCAAGAGACAATTTCGCCGCCGCCAATGCTCAGTGGTTGCCAGAGATTGCTTTTGCACCATTGTTTCGTAAAGTTCTTCAGTAATCAGCATATTAACTGAATATCATTAGGTCTCATTCAATAAATATGTATTGACAATTGTGCGTAATATAAAAATTACATATAAAGATGTGTTGTACTATTAACGTATTGAACTGGTACTTTAAGAACAAAAACAACAATGGACAACAGTTCACGCTATGAGCTTATTAGACTTAATCCAGTGCTTTATAAATGCTACTATTGGTTTTGAACACAACGTATGCAATACACATATTATACCATTGAATACAATATATACTAGAACGTATTACATTCTGTCTTAATAAATCATTGTAATTTAAACAAAACGATACACGCGTTTATACTTTAAACTAACAGTTAGTTTACACCTAACGATCGCAACAATTTCTAAAAAATTGGTTTTGCAAAAAAATTTTTTTTTTAATCTTACCACGCACATGGTATAACGGCAGTATGTAACGCTTTAATTAATAATAGGATGGAGTGAAATACTTTCGTTCCAATAACGTGTGATGTATTGATTTCACTCTTCAAAAAATCATCAATATTATATTATTTGTATTGTTTTTTTTTTTTTTATTGGTATTTCGTTGGTAGTCCAGTGTACATTTTTTCAACATTCTAGGAGATAACGGCTGGTGGGGTGGCCGCCTGAATAGTCGCTTATTGAGTAAGACTATAAATGGGTGTTGAGTAATCGGCTGGCGGTGGCGGCGCGCTCGGCCGACGGGTTTACAGACTTGCGTTACGATTGTCCAGATAGCTGATAGCTGTTACTCGCGGTCAGACGAAACTGGTGCCGCGACGTCCAGCGCTGACCTGACCGCCGCAATCGGCGTACACGTGACGACCAGACGACTACACGTGCCCGCGCTGATACAAACTAAATTTCAAATATACCACGTACCACGTACTTTTGTTTCAACTCAAAACCTCTTTTTTTGACCCATCGAAAAAATAACAATGGCCGATATGAAACGATGGAAGGATAAAGTAGCGCTGGTCACAGGCGCTAATGGAGGCATTGGCATTGCGATTACCAAACGATTCCTGGAACTGGGATTTACCGTAGTGGCCGTAGACAAGATTTGCGAACGACTTTTGGTGAGTAACGTCTTAGCCTAGTGTAATAATCCCAATAGATTATTACACTAGCCCCTATTTGCTTGTAACAACTAACACCCCCCCCTTATTAGCGATTAACGACTAGGTATATAATATGACAGTTGACAACATAATATCATAGTACCTAACAAAAATATTGGTACTATTAAATGCTCGTCTAATATTCTCATGTATGAACAAGGAACATAGTATTTGTAGGAACGCCTAGTTTAAATTCTTTAAAAATATCCTTCGATTTAATCAATATTATGTTGAGTTCACTTTTTAAGAAAACCCTACCTTCTACCTTTCAATGTATCTTTGCATTACAAATTTCAATGGAATTTTGACTATTAATTGGTTTACCAAAAATAGTAAAGTAGTAGTAGTTACCTAAAAAAATAAACCATCATTTTGGAAAATTAATTTAGCCTTGGAACATTACTTGGTACACTATGTTATTCATCAACTATAGTTAAAAAAAAAAATCAACTTTAGTAATTATTATTCAATCATAATTGTATACAACTGTGTAATTGTTGGAACGTTTATGGAAATTAGGAAAATGTACACTATGAATAGATAAAAATGAGGTAAACCTTAAAAGTGATTGAGATAGTAAATACAACTTCGATGTCAATATGATTGATCTGAAACCTGTCAACCAGGTTTTCGGGTTAGTTACAAATTGAACTTATTGGCTATATACATAGTTTGTGTTGTATGTTATTACGAAATCACTTTAAAATCATCAAAACTATACATGATAATTATTATTTCAACATTTTTTGGTTTAACCTATTTAATCTAAACAAATTATCATTTCATGATAAACGTAATTATATACTCCAAACCATATATTAAACGAATACAAAGGTTCGAAAAATAATAAGCTGTAAGATCAATTGTTCAAAGTAGAAAAAACTAAAATACATTATCTAGAAATTGAATCTTTGAAAATATCTTTGACAGAAATTAAATCTTTCAGGATACTTCTTACGGGTACATACTACATTGTAGATAAAGATTACAATTGTGCCATGCTGGTTACTGTAATAAAATAGACAATAAGAAATGAGTATTATAGCCAATACAAAGTCTGTCAAGAATTTAGTATTTCAAATGTAGGTAGATAGTTAAAAGAAAGTTTACGTATCTAAATTTGCACAACGAAAATCTAATTATCTATTCATAAGACCTGGTTATACATAGTTACAGGAAATCTAATGTGTTTTTTTTTTTTTGAAATTGTATAATATAATATGATGTACGATAAAGATGAAGAAGCATTTAGAAGTGTGAGAATTATCGTCATCGGTCACTATGTTAATGCGACTAACTGTACACCCAAGTAGCAAGTACTAATGTTTTTATTCGTTTCTGTAAGTATGAAAGACGTAATCGATTTGAACTAGAAAGTTATAATAACCAAAATTCTTAATGCGTCGAACCATAATAATTACACTTGTGTTTTACCATCGTTGGCACAGATCTAGCCGTTATAGAAGTGCGGTAGTATAGTATTACGTGAAACGGGTTTATTGACGAATTGCCGTTGAGCATAAAATAATTATAATACTAAATCTAGTAGAATGGATATGCACATTTGGCTCAATATGAATTAAACGACACGGTTAATTATAACATGTTATAACACAACTATCATGATTAACAAAATTATTATAAAACATCAATTATTTATTACATATCGCCTAAGCATTAAGGAACTATTTCGTATGCCAATTTTTAGTAAAGCTGTCAAATTTGCCAAAAAATGATGCAATACATCTAAATATTTGTTATACATATTTACAGTCAATTTAGTAGGTAGAGACTATAGCTATAAACATTGAAGAAAAATTACAGTCGTCTACTCGAAACAATGCACGGACACATCATACATTTAAATAAGTACTATACAAAAAAATATGAGTTTTATTCTTTGTGTCGTTAAAAGCATTTTTATTTCTCTATCCAAATAATTTACAGATTCGAGAAGGATACAATTTAGATATTTTAAATATAATAAATATTTACAAAACATTGATTTCTGTATTCACTGTATCAATTTCTAAGTAACATTATTTTATCCTAAAGAACCCGGACCTTTAAATTATTATCGAATGCAACTTGTATAATTATTATAGTGAAACTATATTCAAATTTTAAACAGAATTTAACCTGTTTCAATAGGAACATAAAAGTACAGTTTTTAATGTATATATGTATATGGTGATCATTACAGCAAATTAAATAAAAATACCTAATTGCATAATTTGTTAGATATTCAGCATCAACCATCATTTACAAGTATTCAGTTGATCTACCAGCTATTTATTACGCTTTCTTGTTTTCATACTTCTAAACGTATGTACAATTTTTACTACAATGGTCTAATTTTTACTTTGTAATCGCATTGTATCAACCAAATACTGCTCATCGTTTATTAAGAAGATAAGCGTAAGTCATATTGCACACTTAATATTATGATACATAAATCGATAAAGATATTACATTTTACAGATAGCGTTATACTGTCCTAACTCCTGAGTGGGCACATTCGAATTGCTCCCATATTTTTATTAGCAAATTAAGTATTGAGTATTAAATATTTATTGTTATGGAGAATTTTCCAATATTTTGACAAAGAGGCAAAAGCTATAGGCTCAAACTCCAATAACAAACAAAATATATTAAATTGTTACACATTTATGACGAATGGCGATGTACAGTAGACATATAAAATATTTTTTAAAACTGATAATAGTGACGAACATTTAATTAGTAATTTTAATCATAATCGTGAAAAACTCAATGAACAAATTATAAATCGCTAAAAATGAAGTAATCTCCTTAAAAGAATAACAATGGAAAAAAATACAAAAGGCCTAATTTAAACCTTAACATACTATATAAACTAAGTTTGACTCTAGAAAACGACGTTTTCTACAGTGCGCACTAGATGCCTCCATAGTAAGAGAGACCTTGATCATTTTTTTAAAAGCATAAATTTCAATTTTGTGTGTAGTTCATGTAAATATTTTGGCTACATGCTATTTGGGATACACTTTGGTGCACCAACCTGTGTACCTGTAAAGAAATGTTTTTATACTAAAATATTTTACTTAAATTAACAATTAATATTAATTTATAAAGTTTATAATACTTATAAACAGTTAGTTCTCAACTCGTCTAATTAATCAGTAATTTATATTTTACTGCATTACGTATATTATATGTTTATGTGACTATACTTTAAATTTCACTGTATACTATAAAATATAATTATTCGATAATGTCTTGATTTGCGTGAATTAAAATTGTTACCCTTTAAAGGTTATTACATGGATTAGTTCAAAATGTAATTTTAAATACAATGAAATAAACGCCAAACTATGTAGAGTATTATTATTAAAACAGGTAACTGGTAAATCAAGGAAGTAAACAAACAATGAATAATATCACTCAGCACTCGCGGTGCTTTAAATTAATTATTAATATTAACTGGTTTTGTGCTTATGTAAGGGTTAAAAATAATTGGAAGTTTCCCTATTGAAGCATTATCAACATATCGGTATTGTTTTTTTTATTTATCTAACTATTCAACAAATTACAATAAGCAAACTTCGTTGATTTGAAAAAAATAACATTTCCCAGAAAAAAAACCAACTATTTGGCAAAACATACAAGTTAAATATAAACTTTAAAGGTAATATTACAGCTGTAACTATTTCCTAAAACTTTATGATGATTTATTTAGTACATTGTTATATGTACCTATTTACAGACTACAGTATACACAATAGTAATACGTAATATCATAGAGTAATAATAATTTTCATTTACAGGAGTTTAAAGATGAATCCAAAAATAAAAAACTTCATCCTTTAAACGTGGATTTATGTCACGAAGAAGAGATCATACGGGCATTTCAATGGGTAGAAGACAATTTCGGAGGCGTAGATGTGCTAATTAACAACGCTGGTATCGGTGGACAAGCTACTCTCATAGGTAAGTCATCACAATGATTACTAAATAGTTATAACATTGTCAACTCCTTGAGAGCAAATATCGAGTCAAAATCATACTAATTAAGGACTTCAAACAAATTCTGTATTTGTTTCAACCACGATAATTTTTGAAAAGTACAAATTCTAGTTAAAAAACTGATTAAAGAATATTGTATTGTAATATTATAAATTGTGGTATCTAGGTAAAATTGAAAGTATTATGGAAGTTGACAATAATAATTTGTTTTAACATATTATCTATTTTATATTTCTTATTAATTCAAATATCGTGTTATGATTATTCTGAAACTAAAATATATAATATCTAATTCAGTAAAGAGATTCCTGGAATGAATTATTTTTGTAGAAACGAAGCTTGGAATTAGTTTAGGCTTCCTTAAAATCAGTCTAATTCAGTAATGAGATTCCTGGAACAAATTCTTTTTGTAGAAATAAAGTTTGGAATTGGTTCAGGATTCCTTTTAAAATAAAGGTACGAGGAACAGGAAATAATTGCTTTTTTGTGGAAGGTGAACGAAAAGTATAGTTCCTTAAACATTTTTTGACATAAATTAATTTTATGGCTGGGTGTCTGTCAAAAATTTACGTGATGCTTTTGTGACATAAATTTGGGGGGGGGGAGTTAATGATAAGCGTGAATGAGGTGGGAATGGGATTTTGGTAACGGGAAATTGATAATTCCTGGATAACTTAAAAGATCTTAAATTCTTTACATACTTGTTCAGTTTATATATTTTAGTTTCAACTATTAAGTTATTGATAAAAACAAACATCATACTTCAACAGCCATCACTCATCAGTGATGAAAGTGGCCTTTTGTAAGCAATATCGTTTATACCTAAGATTATTAATGCAAGGTTATGTTTTAAAACTGCAACTTTCTAAATAACTTATAAATAAAAAAAGTGGAACAAAAAGAGTAACGAGTTCTTATTTTTGAAAATTAATGGAGATTAAAATTTAAACGGGTTCCTTTTAAAAAGGAACTTTCCCAACACTTATCTAATTACAGTACATTTGGAAGTGAAAACATTATACAATATTATTATGATTACTTATTGATTTTTATGTCAAATTTAAATCATAACATAATGATGGCCTATGTTATACATTACGATAATTTCATAATCCGGTAATGTACAGAAATTATACCTAGTTAATAGTTTAAATAAGCGTTACTAAACTAACAAGGAAATCATGTTCTTATAATTATTGCGCGTTGTCCAGTTACAAAACCGAATAAGTACATTGCCTATTGGGTGTAACATAAACCAGAAGACATAAAAGTATAACTATCTTCTGTTGTTGAGAGTAAATACAAAACAAAAAATAAGTAGTTATGCTATTTAAATAAGTAAAACTATTTATAGTAAACAAAACGTATACCTGATTATATACCCTGTTCGGATAATGAAGTCATTGATTAATAATTAATTTTAGAAAAAATGATTAACCTACACTTACCATAAATAATTACAAACATTATATAATATAAGTGTAGGTACTATAATTATAGCCAATAGGTCTATGAACTTTACTCTTTTTTAAAACCTTATATATTTTACATTAGATACCTAATACAACGGTCATAAATTTAACGTCAACTAAATTTAATATATTCAGCTCAAACGTTTGTTACACATCCTTATCATATTATAATTTATGTGCAGATATGCCTACTAGGTAATAGGTAGGCACATAATACATATTATTTAGTTACCGCCTACGGCCATAGGCACAAATACGGGGGGGCTAGGGTGGGCTTAGCCCCCCCCCCCAAAAATTAGGTTATGCATACAATTTTAAAATACAAAAATATATTTACTTATATATACATTTTAAACAAAATTCCAGCCCCCCCAAATTAAAAATTGAAATTGCGCCTATGCCTACGGCCTAACAAAAGATTGCCACCCGCCACTGAAAACATTAACTGAGTAAATGATTTACTTCTAGTTTCCACTGTTAGTACAAAAATCTGATAATATAAGGATACTTATTATATTATACACATTTAATACATTAATGCCTAATGACTTCTTATACGAATTTAATCGTCTTTTTTTAACTGGTTGATAAGTGGATAATGTCTCCAGTATATACGCTCTGGTTGGAAAAACTTGTTTAGAGATACAGAACCTGTATACTTGTCCTAATAATTTTAAAGATTCATTGCAATTAAGATACCTACTATTTTTTTTTTATTAATACCAATGTATGATTAGATTTGAAGAGCTATACTAACATGAATAGCAGTTAATAATTGCTTAAATATAGAAAGGTACTATCTATTTGTTAGATAAAATGTTATCGCGGTTTCAATTTACTACCTATAGGCTATACCTATAGCCTACTACTACTACTGCGTTATAGTTCTAATAATTTATAAGCAAATTAAATTGCAAAAAAATTACAATTTCTCCAACTAGGAACTCGAACTTAAATCAACTAGAATATTAAAATCAAATGAAACATGAGTGAAAAACCTAAATAAGACACTCACAAATTTACTTGGGGCCTTTTGAATCTTGATGTCGCCATTATTGACCAATACTCATCGTCAAATTCAATTGCTTTTGTTACTTATTTTCAGTAACGTCTTGAAGAACTAAATAGCCGGAAAATAAATTTTATCTACCAAAAAAGGTCTTGTTTACTGAAATAAAAATTACACATTATATAGTTTAAGCTATAAATAATTATGATTTAGCAAAAATTGTCTATACTGAACTCCGTAGTAAGTCGGGCCTATGGCCTAGAAGGTGTAACTTCCCTTTTAAACGCAGTCGATCGGAATTCAAATGGAACGAATTACTTTAACGTAGTCAGCCAATAGGTTTAGCTGCCGCAAATTTTACTTTATCATAATTTTATGACCGTTTAATATTTTATTCTAGAAAAAACTTGAGCAACTTATGGTTATACATAATAAAATAACAATTTCTGATCTATTGAATAGCTACACGAAGAAATGGTTCAGCAGTTCAGAAGACATTCAGGCACAAAAAAATAAAAACTATTCATTGTAAAAACAATACCTTTTCAGCTCCGTATTGATGGTAAAATTAATAGTATGCATGTTTGTTGTTCTAGATGGTACGGTATCAGAATGGAAAAAAATGTTGGACGTCAATGTAATAGCATTAAGTATTTGTTCACGTGAAGCCGTAAAATCAATGATAAGTCGCAATTTGGAAAATGCTCACATAATACACTTAAGCAGGTTTGATAAATTAACTAACAATTGATATTATAGCTAGTTATTTGGTAATAATAGTATTTCATTACTATAATTTATACATCATTGTTTACAGTAATTTAGCCCATTATGTACCCACATATGGTCCGTTTCATTTTTACTCCGCAACTAAACACGCTGTACGCGCCCTAACTGAAGGTCTAAGACAAGAACTAAGGGACATAAAAAGTCCAATACGAGTCACGTGTATCAGTCCTGGATTAGTAAAGTCTTCAATATTCAAAAGTTCACTGGGGGAAAAATTTGATAAGCACCTATATGACGCATACCCAAGTATTAATCCTTCTGACATAGCGTCGACTATTGAATTCATATTAGCCACACCATCTCACGTACAGGTAATTTAAACATTTTGATTATAATACTTAACAGTTTTCGAAAATCCACAGCTATTACTTTCATATATTATCATTGCAGACCACATAGATATTAAATTTAACAGAAAAAAGTGCCAATAGATAATCTAAAATGTATTATTTATTTTTAAAATGATTATCCAAATACAAATAAGTAAATAATATATTTAAAACTATACATAGAATGATTTGTAAACTGTACACTATAAATAAATGTAAATATTTTATCACAGTCACAACTTAATTAACATTAAATGTCAATTGATAATTAACAAGATATTACTAGCTCACGAAAAATGTTTTAATCAAAACTAAAAATATATTACACTTACAACATATAACAAAAATAACTTTTTTTTTTTTTTATATTTATATATTAAGGATTTTTAGTATTAGTCAAAATCATATGTATAATTTTATATTGACATTGTTATTTAAAATATTGATTAAATTTTTAGGTTCAAGATATCATCATTAAACCACTAGGTTCAGAGGCATAGTAAAAACAAATTATTCCTATGTGGATGAAAAATAAAATAATGACCCAAGTTTAAAACATAATAAAAATTTATTTTTGCAAAACACAAGTATGAAAAACCATTATTTTATACATTTATAACACATTTTATAATATATATATATATATATTTTTTTTTTATTAATAATTTTCTAGTAATGTTATTTACAAAACATAAACCACAGAAATGTTAAAAAAGAGAAAATGCAGTTAACATAAAATTATTTACTAAAATTATTATTACTTAACTTATACAACTCAGGTGTTTTTGTAGCAAAATCACAGTTACTAAATAAGTATGTGTTTTGGTTAAATATTTTTAAGTTAATTCCTTAAATTATTGTTACTTATAAAAATGTTTTATAATTTTTACAATCCCTATATATATATATATGTTCAATCACATTTTTTCCTTTCGTTTAGATACCAACGTTACATCGTCTTATATCATAAGTATATACATAGATATATTATATATACATATATATATACAGAAACTGCATACACCAGTGACATAGTTTTTTTATCACAAAAATTACCAAACTAAACTTATCAAATAGCTGATTATTCTGTAATGGGCATAGGACGATGCAATAAAAAATAAGTGCAATATTAGAAAACGCACACAATCCTGTTGAATGACAGATGACTGTCGGCCTTTATTGCCTGGAAATTCACCTGTAGAGTAAAAAGTTTCTAAGAGACGCTCTTTTTCTTCCCAACGATCGAACAACCATTTAGTCATTTCTTCTTGATCTTTAGGAACCTAAATTTTAAAATTATGGTAAAATCAAAATCTGTTTAAACACTATAGATAACAGTACAATATAGATAGGCAACTCTATTGTAAATGGTGATCCACACATACACAGCTTTGGCCACGCAGCCTAATTATGATACGATGCCACAAAATTATTTTGCAAAGGCATTTACAGAGCCGTGTGGCTGCAAATAAAAACTAATTAATTACATTACCTTTTTAATAAGACTGCTTAAAATTTGCTTCAAGCTGGTTCATGTGTATATGTAAACAAATATTTTGTTGTGCAGCATTTTGGTAATAAGTAACGCGACCATTAGGGGTGTCAAAGCTGTGTATGTATGGATCCGCCTTAACCATTAAAACTATTTAACCCATTATTGTCAAGCTCTCAAAGGTAAAATTTTACAAAATCTCCATTGAATAAAATTAATATACAAGGAATGTTCATTAGACTTAATATAAATTATGTATAATGTTATTATGTTATTAACTTACTACTGAACTAGGAAACAATCTGTAGTACATATGAGTGCGACAAGCTCTTCGTTGACCCATTATAATGGTTGGTAAGTCTAATGGTTTACCTTCAGGATACGCAATTGTTACATCCAATATCCATGTCAACTTGTCAGTATTTTCATCTTAACAATTATATTAAATAATAAAAACATTATATAATAGTAATAATAATTAAAATAATACAACATTTTTATAATTTGTTTAAGAGATATTTTTTCTTGGTCTATTCGTCCTCAATACTAGACTGGTCTTTTAATAACATCTGGCCTGTTAATGATACTAATTGTTTTTGTTCTATTATAAGTTATTAGATGAAATTTTTGAAGGTTGGGTGAGCTAAGAAATTACTTAGGAAAAGCCCCTTAGCCATCAGTACACGACAGTATTTTTAGATATATTTATTCAAGCGATAACACTGTACATTTTATCGACAGTAAAATAATTAATAGTTGTGTGGTCGCTGGCAACCATATGGTGGTCAACTTAATTCCTGCTAATTTTTGGAATAAATGCCAATATTCTGTTACACATATTTAATATATACAATGTTTAATTATTCGTTAAAGTTGGGTATTTATCTTACAACATGGAAATCTAGTTTTATAACATCAGTTTGAAAAAGTGAAGACAGATAGACAGTGATATAAAGTTAAAATACTGTTCATTAGATTTATTGTAGTATATGTATACTTAAATTATATCATTTTGTTGTAATTAACGAGTTAATAAGAGTATCATAACAATAAATAAATATTCTTACCGAAATCAGTATTGTTGTTTGTTACTCCTCCATATTTGGGTTGTTTTGGTGATAGTTCATCAATTATTGTTGAAAATGCTCCTAACCTTGGTAAGGTTACATGTTCCAATAGAGGCAAATTATTTTTTTGAGCATACCTTTATTGAAAAATGTATTATAATTAATACTTTTACATAAGTTATCATTGAACAACTGTATAAAATCATTTACTTTTTAAAACTTACCTCTGACTCGATTCTAGTCTTTTTCTTAAAAATCCACCTTCTGGGAAAAGAATTATCAGATTCCGTTTACGGGGTATGTATGATGTCCGAATATGAGCTCGTAGTTCTTTAACTGCACGATCTCTCTGATCTTTACCCTAAATATGAAATAAAAAATTAATTAAGATAAACTTCTTAACCACCAACAATTTTTTAAATCTTTACCGATAAAATAAAGAAGTCTTGATGTATAATAGAAATAATGCCAAAGTTGGTAAATTTAAATATCCTATCCATTATCCACATAATATTTGGAAGTACGCCAGCCTTTGAATTAAAATTTGTCATCAACATTGGGACATCTGCTGTTGATTGGTGGTTGACTAATACTAACGTTCGGTCATTGAGACATAATCGAATATCATCACCGACCTCAACAACTAAAAAACAAATTTTGAAGAATTTAACATATTTAAAAAATAAAATACAATTTTTTAGGTCTCCCGGCTACAGTTTTTTTTTTTGTTCAGAAACATGTCTTGCAGAACACCCATACAGAGTTATTTGAATTTTGTAATTTTATTTTTTAGCCATGTTTTTTATTGGTTAGTTTTTGTAGATTTGGTTTGGGTTGGGTTTGATGAGGTGGGGTCATAGCATGGATTGCTACTTTATTTTGTTAATTTTGTTTTATTTGAAAGTGGAAGACTTCCTACATATTTTGGTTATGTTAAGAAAAGTCGAAGCACTGTAGAACTGTTAAAAGTATTTCTCCTTCAATAAAAAAAAAAAACATGATCAAAGTCCGATTACTTCCAAATATATTGTCACTTTGACCGTAGAAAGTTATTTTTCGCCACCAAAATGGCTACAACTCATGTAAATTATATTTTATATAAATAAAGAAAAATTAGGTTGTCATATTCAAAATCCAATAATTTTCAACAGTTTATAAAGGCAATTTTTGGCACCAGAACCCTTAATATAAAAAACATTATTTATCACATTTTATATCATTAATATACTTATTACACTTATACAAAAATATATTTAACATAATGCATAATTATAATATACTTATTTCATAAAGAATAAGAATGCTTACTGTCATATCCAGCTGACCATGACCACATTGAAACCATTGCTAATAGCCAATGGAAAAATAAACCTTCAAGTCTCCAATATAAAGTTGGATGAAGCTTTCGCAGTGGGCATAAAATTATCATCCAAATACAATATGTTGGAATACAATAAATATTGTTTATAATTACAAATAATATGCGAATGATAACTTTGCATGTCACTGAAGCTCTGTAAATAAAATTAAAAACCAAAGTTAATAAAGTAAAGTGTTAGCCAGTCCAAATTGCAAAGTATTTTATCATTTTAAAGTTATGCCAGATGATTAAATTAATAGACAAGAATTATAGAGTATGGAATGTATTATAGTAATTTATATTTCTGAAGTTCTATTTGATTCTTACATAGAGAAATTATGTATTTTTATAAAATTAATGTTAAAAATATTTTTAAACAAGAAAAATGTAGGTTAGATGATTTAAATTTTAAGTGATTACTATTTTACTTAATAGAGTTGCCAAAGTTTTTTCTATTTTATTCTTAATAAATATTAAGAATTTTAGTTTTAGAATATTAAGTAGATTTATTAATCATATAATATTACTTTTCAAATTTTAATCAAAATTTTATAATAGTATCAACTCTTGGTTAGTTATACGATTTTTCTTGCTAGTGGCGTCAGGTCTATAGCAGAAGCTGGTTAGTCAACAAGAACTTTGTGGCATACCCTTTTTTACTATCAACCATTTACGACACGAACATATACGAGGTTAGCCATTTAGTATATTAGAAGAGAACTAAAAAAAAGGATGTAAAACTGAATATATGATTTTTTTTTATAGTGTCATAGATGATAATAGTTCATAATAATGTTAGACACCTAATAAAACAATAATTATTAATTTATCCACTTATCTCAAATATTTGTCAAAAATATAGTAGCATCATATGCATTTATACAAAATACATAAAATAATACCAAGAGATAAGTTATCTTAACTTTTGGGTAATTTATTTTATCTTTAATATTATTCTAGTTGTTTAACCAATAACTCTTTGATATTTTAAAAATTATATATATTTTTTATTACAAGTATGTAATTATTATATATATATATATATATACACACTGTACTGTATATACTTGTATAATTGATCACTCATTTTACGTAAAATGCTTATTTCTTTGAAAATAATTACAAATTTAAAACTTTTTTGGAGAATTTCAGAGCCTTATAACTGTTGAAAAATTGTATGTTGTCATTTAAATTAACATACATATTTTATTTACTTTTTAATTTAAGAATAATTTTACAAACATTTTGACTGTTTGATAATCAATTTTGAATAAATACAAGTAAAGCTATTAATGTTTAAAGTTAAGGAAATGGAGTAGAGTAGGAGAGTAGTATTATTTTTATCAGCGCACATTACTCTCAAAGTTATTAGAGTTTAAAATTTAAGACAGAAGGTAGAGTGCGGTTGAGAAATAGATGAGTGTAGTTAAAAATAATACTCCACTTCCTGTCCTAAATTTCAAACTTTAATAACTTTAAAAAATAATATATATATATATATATATATATATATATATATATATATATAAAGTTACCACATAAATAAAGTGATTCCCAATGACCACTCTAGTAGAATAGTCCTGTAGTTCACTACAGTATTATAAATGCATTATGCAACATATTGGAAACCGAATAAAACAATATTATAAATTATAAAAAGGAATTATAGAACTATGATAACCTATTAAATATACAGTTCAATAATGTAGGATTTTTCAATACTACATAATTGATCCTATACATGATTTTTTTAACGAAAAATCTTTACTGGTTACAATAAAAAATGATTAAATAATTACTACTTCTTCAGTTATTTATGGCTACCAAAATAATATTTGGTGGTCTACAAAACGTTGAGCAAGCAGACTATTAAAGGAATTAAGGTTTGTGTGAATAAAAACAGGAAAAAACTGAAGTTTGGATAGTTGATTTTACAGTATTGAGCTTGAAAGGCCATGAGGTCAGGAAGGATAAGAAATTGGCGACAAAAACAAATATATTTAACAGTTGTAATGAAAAATATGAAAGTGGGGATTAAAAATATTGCTGTTTTACTAGTTTATAATCATAATATAACAATAATAGTTTTAAGTGAGTTACAAATATTTTTGAAGGAGCGGAAAAATTAAGTCAAATTAATAATATAATATTTATTTATTTATATATATATTAAACACCCTCAAGGTTGTTATAAGTTATGACTCACTTATTCAATTTTACTGTATTATGTCATTTTCAGACAGTTCATTTGAAAGCCAGTCAAGTTGATTATCAAATACTAATTGATACCTACCTACTTAATATAGCTGAGATGCCTAATTGATTGTTATGTATAAAATGGTATAGGTAATACCATTATAAATTATAATATGATATTTATATTAGTTAGTAATACTAATTATTATTGTATGAATTAATTAACAGTTAACCCTAGAGCGCTAACTATTCGTCTATTTGTCGAATACTGATTATTTTTAGCATGTTTGTCATATGAGCTTCTACCCTCCATCCATCTCCTGTAGATTGTTGAGTATATTTAATGATAAGACAAAAAGTCCTATTGTTATCAGTTAGTTGTCGACCTTCGATTGCGCAAAACCCACATCGTCGAATCAATGAATAATTAGTAATACATGCAAATTTGTAAATACAAAATGCATGCTGTTTTAGTTTGTCGATACTACAAAAGTTAATTTTTTAAGGGATAATTTCAAATAACATAAAATATGTTATACTTATTATTTATTTTTATTGCTATATTTATTTTATGATAAGAAAAGAAAATAATCAGATTAATTTTATTTAGTTTTGTACATTTTGGTAAATCGACTAATGGTTAGCAAAAAAAGGGTAAAAATAAAGTTAGTTAACACTAGGGGGTTAAAGAAATATTAGTTAAGAAATTAACTGTACTATTTTAAAAACTATCATTGGTTGTCAAGTCAAACTAAACTAAGAAATGTTTAATCAAATATAAATACTATTTAAGAATGTTTTTATATAAAAAATACCTAAATACCTGAAGTATATTATATAATATTTTTCAAGTAATAATTAATTTTATAACTACTAAATCATATTCTTAATCAATTATGTTTTAAGTTTATCTTTTTTCTCTCAAAATTAGTTTAGTAGAAGATAATTGCACATTTAACACAGTTAAATCTTCCACATTGATCCTTATACTTCAAAAATATCATGGGGCATATCAATATTAAATGTCGTTCAGCTGGTAATAACTAAAATAACAACATTGATTACTGCTAAGACTTCTCAATGAAGCAAAAATAATTGCATGGGTTTTTAGTATTTAATATGATATAATAAACTATGTTCATCAGCATTTACAATTATTTGAATTTTACATTACTTTAACAAATACATATATTCATTTTTCTGTATACCTAATGTTTTAAAAGTAGATCACGGGATTATACCATAATTGTAAAAAAAAAATATAATTAAAAACTAATTAGGAATAATTATAAATAAATGTGCACATTTTTAATGTTGCAAAACCTAATAAATTTTCTTACTTAAACTATTAATTTAAAATAAAAACCGTGAAAAAAAAATAATGATAAAAAGTATCTTATAAAAGACAAATTTTTTATAAATTTATTTAAAGATAGTCAAAACGAAATTAAACCTTGAAATCATGCACTATCACATTACATTATTTACTTGACCTAATATACTAATGGTTTACTTTAATGTAAAAATTTGCAATTGCACTATAGTCTACAAACTATAAAACTTAAAAGTACTATCAGAATACCAAATGAGTCCAACGAGTAATAACTAAAATCAAACTATTAACTAGATATGTCAATAATTGTTGGTAAAAAAAAACGAATATCCATTTGAGATTAAACTTATCAGTAATGAGAAAACTTTATTAATAAGATAAATTATGTTGAAATTAAAATGGCCCCTCCCTTTGCCAATAGGTGTCTTTTACATAATATGCATAACTACCTACTACTACTCAATACGTAAACAAATTTAACTAACCTGTAACCAAATTTCTTCAATTTTCCATCAGGCATTTCGATGCTCAAATCAGTCTTCATAATTACAGCCACTCTACCATAAATTGGAAATCTGCGAGTGGAATATATTAATTTTAATTTATACGATATTAGTCATATTCTAGGCTTTTGGGGCAGCTTGTGTTTAATTTCTGCTTTTTAAGTCATCATTATACACAATAATGACATTTAAAGAGTGCTCGGCGGCTTACCTTGTGTCTTTTTTCCCCCGAGGGCCAAATTCACATTTTCACAGACTGTATACACGGTCAAATATACACCGACTAATGATGGCTCACTAGTTTGAAAATTACGTTTAAGCGGTTGTCAAATGAATGCGACAAGCAACAGCCCTCCAATCAGTGATCACAACTCAAACTGAGCACAATTTTGTAATTACTGTGGTCAAACGGCTGATGATTGATGAACTTATTACTTAGTAGGCACACTACCACAGGAAAAATAAACGTTAAAGCCTACCGAGTACTGTTTTTTTATCAACGACTGGGAAAGAAAATAAAAACATATTATCGAGACGAAAAAACAAATGACCTTAACACTATGGTTTTTACATGTACCTCGGTACATAACAGAGACGTGCCGGTAATCATTGACCTATAACATTAGGACATCGTACTTCACTCCTCCCAAATCCTATGTTACGATACTACTATACTATAGGCCAGAGGCCACCCGCCACAGTAATAAATCGGAGACAACGAACATTCATGGATGAAAACAAAAAAATTGATTTAAATAGGTACAAGAAAAACCAACGCACAATCATCGCGTAAATTGGGACATTTTCATCTTTTAAAATGTACATATAATTACTCTTCACATCGCCAGACGTCATCGTAAATCGCCATGGCTAATTTACCAGGTTATCGCATATCAATTCCCAAAATGGCAGCGTGAGAGGATATCAATGTAAACGAATGAATACAAATACCACGATTTAATATACATACATTTAAAAAGTAAATGAATTAGCCATTCGATTGGCTCCCTTTACTCTGACATTTAATTTTTATCGTCGAAAATTTCGATAGAGAGGGGTCTAAATGCAATAACCTAGTATATTTAAACCAAGCGTAGACCATAAATTAGATTCGGACAGTGGGCTAATTAACTGGTTACTGTGCTATACTGCTATAGTAAGACGTAGTAAACATTAAACATGATTGAAATATACATGGTTATTGCACATATCCCCTTCTTCGTCAAATTATTCGATGATAAAAACGAATATGTCAACATAACGGGCAGCCAATAAAAATCAAGTATAACTACACGGTAGTATATAATTTATATTAATAGTAAACTTATAGTATATAGTAAAATTGATATCCCGTTACGCTGTCATTTTCTGAAGGAAACAATTCGAGACGCTGTGCAATAACCTGTATATTTCAACCATGGTAGTAACCTAGCTTATACTAGCTTGATTTTTTTTAGGTTAAAATTTAAACATGATAATATGAAATTGAATTTTGTTATCACGTTTCATTCATGAAACGTGCGTTCCGGCCTCCGGGATTTGTTAAATTATTTGCTGTTATTCATTATTCAATATTCTCGTTAGTAGTTATTTTCATTAGACTTTTATTCTTTATAGTTTAATAATTTATAATTTACTTTTATACACATAATATGCATGACTTAATAATCATATGATACATGATACATATGTATCTAAAGATTATGAAAAATACGTTTTACAGAAAATAAGTTCTACTTAGTTATTATTTGTGAATCTAGTTCTAAATCCAAATACATAAACATATAATGAATGGTACATCAGCATTTGATTTTTATGCTCAACAATTGTCGCATGAGGATGGCAAAAATAAACGTAAGAACAAGAAAAAAGCAAAAAAAATTGTTACAAAAAAGTTTAAAACTGACGATAATGCTGCTGCTGTAAAAAGTTCTTCAAATATTGTATTCCATCAGATTTTTAAACAAAATTTAAAAAATTCTGTGACAACAGGCAAAAAATTATTTGAGTGGCTTATAGACCCTATTAATATTGATGATTTCATGAAGTGAGTACCCTGTAAATCGTTCTTTTACAACATTATGTCATACACCTTAATTTTGTTGATTATGTACTAAACAAAAAATGTTACTGAATAATATCTGTTACTAGAATTTTAAATAACCCATTAAATTTAATTTGTTTTGTTTTTCTAGGAAACATTGGGAAAAAACATATCTTCATATTCCTAGAAATAGTCCCAATTACTTTTCTGAACTCTTTTCACTTGAAGAGTTTGACAGTATTCTTAGAAAAAACAATCTTCAATATGGAACTAATGTAGACATTACTTCCTATGTAAATAACCAAAGGGAAACACATAATCCTGTTGGCCGAGCACAGGCTCATGTTGTATGGGATTACTTCAATAATGGCTGTAGCGTACGACTTTTAAATCCTCAGTTGTTTGCTCCAGAAATATACAAACTCATGTCTAATTTACAAGAGTATTTTAGTTCATTAGTTGGCTGTAATGTGTATTTGACGCCACCGTTTTCTCAAGGTTTTGCTCCTCATTATGATGATATAGAAGCATTTGTAGTTCAAGTAAACGGAGAAAAACATTGGAGAGTTTATAAACCACTGTAATATTTAATATTTTTTTTAAATAATTATTTAAGCTTGCATGGGTTGTTAAAAGAGGCAGAGATTGTCCGGTAATATTCATGTTGTTTAAAATATTAATATAAGAAAAACAACATGAAATTTACTGGGAAATCTGAAATGAACCATAATTTAATTATCTGAAATATATTAAATTCAAAACCATTTTTAGAAGTCAGTGCGATACTCTTCCAAGGACATCTAGTCGTAATTTTCAACAAGGAGAAATTGGTAGTCCAATTCTTGATGTCATATTAAGGCCTGGTGACTTTTTGTATATGCCTCGAGGTTATATTCATCAAGCTGATACTCTTTTCACGGAAACCCATTCTTTACATTTAACATTTTCTACATATCAGCAAAACTCAATGTATGATTTTCTACAAGTGGTAAGAATTCAGTTTGTATCTGATGATAAAAAATCAGTACTTATTATAAATGTTTTATAATATATATGAGTACATAGAAGTATATTCATATTATATACTCTATGTGCACTTCTCACGTATCTATGTGTGTGTTTACTCGTAATGAAAATCTTATACTTGCAGACAGAGTAAAAGATTTTTGTTATGAGTACATGTATTCATAAAAAATTGGGGATTGAGTACATTTAATGAATATTGTATAATCTTTTGACTACACCACTGTCAGTATTTAAAACATTTATTTCATAGTATAAATTTAAACAGGTGCGTTATATATACCCATCAACTTTGGCGCAGTCTGATTATTTTGACTAATTTAGTGTAATATAAATGCAAAAAATGCTAATATATAATAAAAAAGCTAGTTTATTTAAATATATTTTTTTATTATAGACACTCAAAAATGCCCTGAGTAATGCCGTGAAAAATGATGTAACTTATAGGAGTGGTTTACCTATTGGATATCAAAATTTAGGAGGCATATGCGAATCAGAAAAAAACACTCCTCACTCAAGTCAAAGGCAAGCTTTTGAACACCAAATTAATAGCCTCATAAAAAATTTGAAGAACCATTTAGATTTTGATCAAGCTATTGATCAGTTTTCATTAAAGAATTATTACACAAATTCATTACCTCCGTCTTTAAGTAATGGTAATTTTTAATTAATTTAAATAATCAATTTAAAAAAAACCTGAAATTATACTACATGTGATTTTTGAGTATTCATAAAATATATTAAAGAATGATGATATTAAATAAAAATAATACATTTTTAGCTGAGTTGATGCGAACTGTAGCTAATGGTACAAAAATACAATCAAATGGAAAGACTATAGGAAGTGTAGACATTGAAAATGCAGAAATTAAACTCGTTAGAGGCAATTGTTTTAGGTCAGTATATTATTGTTTTTAAATTATTAAAGTATTTTCAATTGGTAATATTTTAGTTTTATGTTTTGATTGCAAGTTTAAAATGTGTCAACATATTGCATGTTCTTACAAGTTTCTTAAACAATTTTTTTTTTTTAATATATGTATATAATTTTAACAACTTGGATAGTTATAGTTAGAACTTATAGTTTTGGTATGTTCTTATAGTGACAAAAATTTAAATGATTATTATCATTATATACAAACAGGTTAGTTGAAGAGTTTGTATTAAATGAGGACACTGACCATATGAATGACGAGTTGAGATTATATTATAATTTGGATAATACTAAAGAGTTACATGGAAATGAATGCCAATTTGTTGTTGTACCAGATGAAATGGGGTTATATGTCAAGAAACTTTTCAATACATACCCTGCATACATAAAAGTGACGGACCTATGTGATGACAATGAACAGGTAAATATCATTATTGGACAGTGTTGCTTATAATATGGAGGTAAAGTAGCAGAATAACCACTGTTTCAATGATTTATTACATATTTTTTGATATAATAAATTGATGTAACAATCAGTGAGAGAGAACAGTTTAAGATTGTTTGGGCATGTTGAAAAAGGGAGTAAAAGTGAAAAAGTAAAACATTTAATGTATCATGGTACATGTGTGAAAATATATAAAGCCCTCAAAGTATTTTAACAACTGCAACAATCTTTATTATTATTATTATATAAAATTTCAATATATTTATTATAATGTGTGTAGTATGAAATTTAAATTTAAATATTTTTTAGGTTTTGCAACTTGTAAATGATTTATGGGAACGAGGATTATTGATTACTTCTTCTAATATTACATCAAATGAATGAAGAACGATTACAAACAATTAAACAACAATTATATCAATAATTTATCATATTATAACAAAAGTAATTTCTACTAAGTTATTTCTTATATTTTAACCGTTTTTAGCTATAATATATTCTGTGTAGCTTAAAAACCCATCATTGTCTGTGTCGTCCTCTTCAAGTATTTGATCCACCAAATCTGAATATATTTGACATTTAAGTGTTTTTAAGTTTTATGGTAGTTCTGATGTATATTATTACGTTTTACCTATAGTCTCTTCCATGGGTATTGGCTGTGCATCCTCTTGACGTTCTGCATTATGATGAAAGGCAATCAAAAGTTCTAGCCCATCGAGCTTTGTATTCTTATCATAGTCGTGGACACTGAAACGTGTAGTTCAGTTTACAATATTATTTGATAAACTTATACTTGCATACATACCATGTATTTTAAGGGGCCTTGAAAGCCCAACACTGCCATCATGAGATGGTTTCTAGACGAATTTGCTATCAGAGACGGGTCATTAGTCCGTCGCCGGAGAAGGGAATGGCTTCTTTTTACCAGACAATTTATCACCAGCAAACAGAGGCGCCCGTGACCAAGTGTTGAATCGGCAACAGTGAGCGTCAAACACACTGATGCCTTACCCACTCGGCCACTCGTCCTTCTCTGGATAAGCTTTTAGTTATGTTTATAATACATGAAAAATACTACTTACGTGAAATAACGAAATTCAATTTCTTCTTCCGAGTACGTTTTATCTTCTAGTTCATCAAAATACCCTAGGTCTTCTTCAATGTGCCTAATTTAAGTAATAATATATAAATTAAAATGAAATATATTAAATCTAGGTATTTTAATTATTAAAAGATAATAATTATAAATACATATAAAATTAGGTAGGTACAACTATTTTATTTATTATCAAATTTATATCAAGTCTGCTAAAAAACAGCGACCTAAGGGCAAATTTTTTGAAAGTGGGTTTTTCAAGCTTTTTGAATCATAAACAATGAATTTATAAAGTCAATAAATAAGATTGCGAAGAATTAATTAGTTTTTCAGAATTATGCGGGTTTTTTTTGTCCTTAAACAATATTGTTAATAGAGGTATTTTCTCAATTCACTCTCCTGTAAAATGTAACATTTAACTTTTTGCAGTTAGGTGCTGTTAAACTAAAAAAATTATTCTAATAACTTGCGAAGTAATTGTTTGAATAAAAAATTGCACAACTCTGAGTATGTGTATGACTACTAAAAAAAATATTCTCTTGACATTATTGGCTATTGCCATCTAAATAATAGTAATGTATATATTTTATACACTATTTACAATACTGTTTTTTCTAATTACCTACAGCTTACCCATTTAGCTTAAACAAATAAGAAATCCCAAACATTTCAGATCCTAACTCAATTTTAAGTACTTTTTCATGAATTGTTTTTTCTCAATTGATGATTGACATAGAAAATTTTAAATTTCCTTAAAAAAATTAAAATTTGCTACTAATCGAATTTTTTATAATTTAAAAAAAGATTCTTAAAGTTAAGATATGACACTTGATATTTTGTAATACAATTTTTTTTTGCTGCAAGTTATCAAAATTACTTTTATGATTTATCAGATTCAATGGTCTGTAACTTGATAAAAACAATCGTTATCGTGAAATATTTAGAAGTGTCATACTTCAATTTTAAGTATAATTGTTTAAATTGTAAACATTTAAATTAGTTTTCAAGTTTTCAAAATTTATTATACCGATCAAATGCAAAACAAATACTTCAGAATTAAAATGGAAAATTTTAGGCATTTCTATTTTGATTGGGGTGGAGGGAAATTTTTTCAGATAGTACTGTAGTACCTAACTCAACCCGTGTCTTTAGTATGGATGTTAAAGTAGGTTATATTATAACCTTAAGCTATTTATTAAATGGACGTTATACACTCAATTTTTTAGCGTTATAACGTAGGCAGAATGCGTTTTACTCACTCAAAGATGATTTTGGAGCAAAAATACTTATAACAAAAACGAATGATAAACAAAATTTTGGAGAAATGTCATGTTATCCTCTTTTTAATACATTTAAAATCTTTTTTTTTTTACTTTTTTTAAACTAATTAATTTTTCAATAATAACTACGTTATTATTTTCAAAATCGGATATGACATTGTCCTCTAAATGTTACGGAATCTTTCGATTTTATAGTAGGTGTTTTTGCTCTAAAACCACTTTGGACCAAGTAAAACGCATGTTGCGTAGCTATGTTTAGATGAAATTTGTTTTTAAATCGCTGTAAAGGATACTGTGATAGTCCGAAAAATAAAACATTAAAAAAATAAGTCCTAATTACTGAATTAATAATTACACATGAACCACATCACAGTTAAACCTTTCGGTAAAAATTGCTTATAACTAAATGGAGTAAATATCTAATAAGTAATAACACAAATGATGAAGAGAGTATGATAGAGATGGTGTGATGTATTCATGTAGGTAAGAGATGGAAAAGTCAAATGGTGAACGATTTAACGTGGATTATCATACGTCATCGATATTACGTAGATGCTACTTGCGAGTAGACCTTGTTTACCTTACGTCATGCAATATCGGTTTGTCGTCTGTGAATTTCGTGTTGCTCTTGGGCGACGGGTGCTTGTGATCGAGCTTTTCAACGGTCGCTTCGCCGGACACGGCCGCCCTGGGATGATGCGGTCCTCGTTGTTGGGACCCAACGGCGATGCCCAGCAGCAACAGTTCGACCATCATCGCAGCCAGCCGTCGTCCTCCCAGTTTCATCCCTCCCGCCGCGCTTTTTTTTCTTCTATTATTATCCGCTTAACATGGAATTTCCGCGACAGATGCGACGGCGGGCTCGCCGGTCCGCCAGTGCGTCAGGCCTGTGACGATCAAATTCGATTTACTACTCAATGCATTATTTCACGCCCGATATGAACGCAGCGTGCGGCCACTTCATGGGATGCACCGACGCGATGGCCAATCCAGTAATCTCCCTTCCTCCCCCTCCCCCCCCCCCACTCACCACTCGCCAATAAACCAACATATAAGTTAACGCACATGGATTTGTCGCCGAAACGCTTTAAGCGGCCACTATAAAATATTCTGTTTAAGTAGTTGCCGTTGAGTAATAATGTTCTGAATAAACAGCTATAAATAATCAGTAAACATTTAAAATAACTTATTGTTTTTTTTTATAACTTACGGGTAATATACTTACTACTTATTGGTATCTGTAAATAGGTAATAATAAAATAATAGATAAATAGCATATTATTTGTTCATTATAAATAAAGCTGGGAACCTACTATTTTTAGGTATCGTATCTACAAGGGCTCCCTATTTCACGTGAATCACGGCTCACGGATTCACATGAAATTAATCACGAGTTTGTAAGACCCGTGATTAGAAATTGTCCGTGAATTTATCATTTTATTTACGTGATATTACGTGAATATCACGTGATATCACGTGAATAATATTATACGTGATCACGTGAATTTCGTACAACGAATTTACGTGAATTAAACCATACGGGTTTTATATTACTTTTATTCACGTGTTCACGTATGTATTACTTCACATTCGAAACCAAGACCCATCTACCCATGCCAAAATTATAAAAATTTGATTCATGAAAAAAAAAATGTTTTTAATATTTTTTACAAATGCGAATTTAGTAGTTAAGTGAAACGTAAATCTATAACATCTGTTAAAACACACCGGTCGATCTAACTGTGTTGTTTCAACAATTCAACGTTCAATTGACAATGGGTTGGCCTGCCAGTAGAGAATAATAATACATGATTATTGCCTTTGTAATACGTAAGGATTGCTTAACTAAGCATTTACTGGTTCGGTCTTTATTGATGTAAGCAAATTATATATTATATATATTAATAACAATTAGTATATTTTTAACGAGGTGTTGAATTTTTGATGTGCCTAAATGTTGTAACAATGAGAATGAAATTTAAAATATTAAACCTCATTTCTCAAACAATTATTGAAAATTAATATATTCAGTCCAAACGGCAACTATTATTAATAAGTTTTTAAACTTCTATTATTTGTAAGATTGTTTTAAAAAAGCAAGGACGTCATTAAGAGGACGCCAAACCTTCCGTATTTCGACTGTAAAACTCGTGCGTGGGACGAGTATATGGGACAGTATCACGGTTGTCTACAATTGTTGTCTAGACAACCGTGGACAGTATTTACAGTATACTTATCAAATGTTTACAATGTATAGAGAAGAACTTTATCTAAGTCGTAGCGTTTTTATTTTCAACTTAAACACAATTAAAATTATTAGTTCGTAAACATTCATTTTTTTCATTTGTTTATAAAAAATTAGTGAGTAATGAGTAAAGATATAATAAAAAAAAAAACGTAGCATTTGAAATACGAACACATTATTTTTGCTACAAAAATACGTGTGTAGCAGCCTCTTAAGATTAATGTCATATTCTCAAACAAACAATATATATACAAGCATTCCAGAATATTTGATGTCTGTTCAAAGTTATAGGATCCTCTTGGTATGTGTCTATTGTGTCACACCGTTGATAAACCTCAATACAGTTGATGAAACAGTAATAGGTATTATAATAGTATAAGAGTTTATTTGCAACAGTAAACCCAACCAATTAGCCTCGGACTCTTTACTAAAAAACCCATCCAGAAGACGTGGTACAGAAATCAGCACAATAAAAAAAAAACTGTTCAAAGAGTTATCTCTACTGGTTGGTTTCTCCCTAATATTAATGTTAATAAAATAACTTATTGTACAGCTTGAAGATTATTGTTATTATTAATATTATAAAAAAACAAAACATTTATATATATATATTAATTAGCCTACCAGTTGTGTTTATACCCTACCATACACAATTTAAATGGTTATGACCAAATGGAATAATGGTCTTAAAGAATCTTAAATAAATATTATATTACGCTCAGTTGTTATTTTACTTGCTGCGCACCTGAAATAAAACTAAGGCAGTTCAAGTCAAACTATATGTGATTATACTTTGTCTCCTACCAATTTACATTTAAAAACTTATACATTAAAATTTCAAAGAGCGATTCCTATACTCCCGAACTCTTTAGTGAGCACCACTGGATTTTCTGTGTAAATAGTATAATAAAAAATAATTCTATTTGGCGTTGTAATTAATTTAATTAAACAAATACCATGTTCAGTAAAAGCGTCATTAGCTACTGATCGATAGATACCCATCGTTTAAAACATCCGCTGGCAGTGAAATGAATATAGACACTGTTTCGAGTTCCACAAAGATTTATTAAGTTGTACAGTGCCCAATAATATATTTAACCATAAGTATATTATGTATATAACTTAAATACATATTGACTAGAATCGCAATTTAATTAAAACTGCATACATTTATTTAAAACAAATTTAATTTACAAAATTGTATCTTAAAAAAGGCCAGTACAAGTTCAAAGAATATTCCATACACATTTAGAACTAATAAAAGTCAAGTTATGTTCTTCTGACCCATATAATCTTTGAACCAATTAGGTTTTTTTTTTGCTATTAATTTACCGTTTCAAACATCGGCAGTTTGCAACACATATTTGACTTAACAACATTTTTCAAATTTTTGTAATACTTATTTAAATGTTAGTAGAACACCTTGTAAAAGTATGCCGAAGGAGACATTTTTTTAACACCAGCGTAGTTAGGGTTCAAATTTTCCGATTTACATTTATTGGAAATATACACAATTTACCCAACTATTTAATTTATTCCTTAGTATAATTGTGTCAAAATACAATATTATAGATTAGGCGCATCTAAATTACACACACTTATTAAGCTTATTTATATATAAAACTAACTAACTATATACTAATTACTAACTATATTTGTTCAAAACTGGTTATTGTTTTATTATATTATATATATATATATTTTTTTAATGAGTAAAATTATTATTTAAACAGTACAAATTATTTTTTATCATAATTATAGGTAGGTACTTAATTAAAGTTTTCTTTGAAACATTTTTATATAAAACAGTTATTTCATTAAAAACAAACATATACCAAGCTATTCATCAAAAACCCTATTTGTTATTCGCTATTTTAGAGATTTATACCGTGTATAAAACCTATCGGGGTTGATATGAAATATGGATTGGTGGCCTATATGTATATAAAATATAATATATCAACGTGTAATCAAAAACCTCACTTATGGTATATACTATATAGGTACATGTGTTATGGTTGTAGCTACAAGTTATAAATACGCCTAACATTAAGACCCTAAATTGAGATCGTAATCGTAATGCTCTTGTATGGGGTTAAACTAACAAAACAAAAAAGTGTTTGATAATTGTTTTTTTTTTGTAGGTGGGGAGTGACCAGGGGGAAAGGATTGTGCGCGGACAATAGACGGGCAGTATAAAATGGAAACGAAAATACAAACGCTGCAGGTCTCCTATACGACCAGCAGATTCGAACGGCACAAAGTATAAATTGTATTATATTTTCGTTTAAAATTGAAACATACGCGATTTACTATTATTCTTTCCGCTTTTATTTTTTCGAATCCAACACACGTCGTCCAATAGTATTACCGTTTACCCCAAAAATCTGTTGGCATATTATAACAACAACCAGAGTAAAAGCTACACAACTGCTTACCGTACTTGGTGGTTAATAGTTTTACTTGTCGTCGTTTTATGATAGTTTTGCTGAGTGATTATTTCCGAAAAAATATTTTCTAATTACAATATGTAAAAATGTTTCTTGGCACGAAAATTCTAATATTTAGGTACTCTAAACTACTACAGAGCGTTGGATAAAAGCTCGCGATACACTTATGACCTACTTAAAAACTACGACACCACTTAAAAAAGAACGTCATAATATAAGCTTAAAAAAATTTACTTCGTACGGCATAAACGAATATCAATGTGATAACAGGGTGATAGCAAAACTTTTAATTCCAAATCGCCAAACAAGTACGTGGTAAAATAATTTTGGTTGTCGGATCAATAAACGTATCTGTATCGCCACCACGTGGCAGCAAGGTTTTGCCATCTTTCTCTGAATTTTTCATTGTTTTGTCGAGTAAGTAAACATTAGTCGCAATGAACACAATTCGAGAACCACCCAAGTGTGTAACATATGGTACAACCTTGCCGTAAAACACATTTTATGTATATTTTGAATGTAATATTTATATCCTAGAATTAAACAATGAAAAATCACTATTCACTATGTACTTACAGCTATACTTTACTATACAGCTTGTCTTAAAAATTAATGATTTTTTTTTTTATTGTTTAACAGTGATGACGTCACTTTAAGATTTGATAATTTATTTGATCCAAGTTAGCTAACTTTTTATCTTTCTTGTTAATAAGCCTAGCGTGTATAGTCTGTGCTGATTTTTAGCTTCGACGCAAAACTGAAAAAATATTCATTTTACATTGATGTGGTTTTTTGTGTGTCTGTTTGCACTTGAAAATCGCTTGAAATATTCTTGAATGTTGTAGCATCACTATCGATCACAAGATGTATGCCATTAGTCCTATGAAGGGTGAAAAGTTAAAAAGCTCACTCGCTCATCACAAAAGTAAAAAAAAAAACAAAATTTTACGATTTTAAAAGTTTTGTCTTGCAACAACTTTTCAAAAAAATAATCGAATAGAGTTGAATTTTTAAAGAATTGATATTACAAAAAGTTCAGGTATGTCAGGGAATATTATTATGCCAACGACTAATAAGTTATCTTATTATCTTTATATTTGATTAATGGTCTCTAAAAGTGGTTTAACCACACTTTACTCGCCTTTTATTATGTTGTTACTTGGTTTGTAAAGAAACTACAAGATAAAGCCTGGAACCTCATATAGAACCTTATGTTATTTCCAGTATTACATAGTACTAAAGAATATACACTTGGATACGAATTTTGGCTACTAGACTCGAATTGGGTCTTTTCTAACTGTTCCGTATTTGTACTGTGCTGACTGGAGCGGGTTCTTATTGTCCACATATTAGCATCGAGGCGTTTGATAATGAAGAAATCTTTTTCAGTTTTCATAACTGCCTTGACCTCACTTTGCTAACTTCTTTCTATGCGAGCTTACACTGTACTTGGTTTATACTGTGATGGTTTTTTATAATTAAACATCACTAAAAAGCAATATTGATACAAATTCATTTAAAAGTAATATTTTGAAGTAAAAATATTAAAACGTTGAAAATTCGAGTAAATTAGGTAAATACAATTTCTTGATACAATAATGTACTGTCCAATATGATATATGTACCCATCTAAATGAATTTCATTTATAGCTTATCAACTATCTATACACTTCTTTACTTTTTTATTAAAAAATAGAACTTGTGATGTGGAAAAAATCAAAATATACCCATAGGACCAACTAGCTTACATTTTAGGGGATGCAGGCTAAAACTATGTATACCTGACTAATCATAATTCTTATCTTCAATTTTCAAACTATTAGATATAATACAGAGTGATTCTCTTATCATTAACCAGCAATATCTCACTGGGCTTAGTTAATAATTCAATTTTTTTTTTCATATTATTTTTATACAATGTGATCTCAATTTTTTAAATTTTTTTTTGTTTTTACCTCCCTCTCAACTTAGATTTGTTGATAGCTACTTTTGAAACTTAAATGGTAATGTACATATTTTATTGCCTTTTTAAATAGAGAATAATGTATTACAAATTTTGACTGGTCGATAACCAGTTTCGGATAACTATTTTTAAAGTTATAAGAGCTTAAAAGTTAGGATGGAAGGGTAAGTTTGGTTGGGAAATGCGCGCAGATAAAAATAATACTACACTAGACTTCCCCTTGAGGTGTCCCGATAAGAAATAGTCACATGGATGGGGCCCTAGCTCATACGGCCCGTCGTTCGGCCCCTTGAAGAACTAAAGGAGTCTATCCGCCAAGAAGTCTCCGGGATTCCACTCGATATGCTGGCTGGAGTGATGGAATACACTCGAGAACGGCTCGAAATGTGCGTCGCTCGTCAAGGCAATCATTTGAACGATATAATTTTTAAAAAAAACCTTATATAATGTAGTTTCTATAAATAGTTTTTTTTCTATATCTTGTATAGTTTTTTTTTAAATTCACCTCGGAAATGTGGGAGTCCATTATGCCACACCCTATATATTTTGATTTTTTAAATGAACGTATTATCACGTACATTTTAGGTTATGTATAGAATGTATCACTTTCTTTATTCTACCGTGTGTATTTGAGATCCCTTTAACCCCTAAGAACCGTTTTGAGTGATCGCTTTTCTTACCTTTTTAGTTTCGATGCGGAGCTGAGAGATTATGGTTTTACAATAATGTTTATTTTTAGTCTGTACCCACTGTAACTTGTTTTTACTAAACTAATTTCTTCGAGTAACAACTCTAAAAATTACAAATTTTATCTTTTTGGTACACGAGGGGCTACAAGTTGAAAAAATTTACTCCTTCACACTTAAAATCAAGAAAAACAAAAAGTATACGAATTTTCAACTTTGACCAGCAATAATTACGAGAAAAAATGGTCGGATCACGTTAAAATTTATAAGGAATATTTATTCGGTATACCCCTTTATGGCAATAACCTCAAAATTATCTTTATTTTTCACATTCCCCCTTCATCAACGAAAGGGATGGGATTTAACCCCATTATTATAGGAAATTTAGTTGAAAATTTGTCAGGAGGTAGAACTGATGTATGTGTCTTAAAATTTAGTTTATAATATTGTGCAAAACAAAGTTTCTATTACAGCCACAAAACAGTGATCAAATGAGACAAAAAAAAAACAAAGGTATAAAAGAACAATTTACCGTAACCTTAATGAAAAAAGAAAAACTTTATTTCATTGAAAAATCATACACTAGTTGTCCGACAAGCCACTAGGATTGTCAAAATACAACTAATGGGATTGTAAATAAGTACAAACTTATACTTATAATAATTAATGTAGATCTGCGACCACTGTACCCCGATCCCACTGTACTGGCTTTTTATTTTTTTCGCCTTGGAGTCATCCTACGTTTATTTAGTTCATGGTTTTTTTAAAGGTAATTAAAAATTATTCAGTTTTTTTCTATGAAATTTCGGACTAAATGCTGACATGGTCTTGTTGCTCTAAAGTTACACCAATGAGACTCAACTTCAACGCTGAACAGTTTTGAAATTGGCAATTAGTCGGAAATGTTAGTGAAAAACTAGTTAAGTTAGCTCTAATGTTTAATGTTGTCTAGTATGACGTCGAAGATAACAGTTATATTGTAAACAATTGACTAAATAATAATGTGTAATGTGCAATTTTATTTAACGGTGCAGTATTATTTTACGCTATTTGTTAACAGTTTGTCACATAATACAATTAGGTACTGTACAGCTGTTTGAGAAAAGTGTTACGCATCTTATAAAATTGTATGATTACATATAGCTCTAGGCAATGAGTTATTTCGAAACAATTATAGCTAAAAAGCTTAAAATATTTTATATGCTATTCAATAATTTTAATAAATTTTAGCATGTAGGCTTTCTATAGTTATAGTAGTATACTGTAACAGTTTTAACTTCCAGGACAATAAGTATGATACATAAATGGAATTCTAATAACAATAGTTGATATGATTAATCACTATAATAATATGCAATCTTTAGAAATTAATCAATTATAGTAATATATCGACGCCCGTTAATAAAAAAAATTAATAACTTTGTTTTTCCCCCCGAGATAATTAGTATGTTAGGTTTAATTTTTGTAACGTAACTCCACGCCACTTTTTATTTGCGTGTAAAACATGTCTCGGGAGATGTACTTTTCTGACGAACAGCAGTTTTACCGTAAAACTACAGCTATACAAAATTAAAGGTCGTGACATTATTAAGATTTTCACATTGATCAATTTTAACAAAACGTAAATATGTACTTAAGCGCTAAAATTTTACAGTTTTTCAGGTAAGTGAAATCTTTTGAGGCGTATTTTAAATCGAATATTAAGTGACTATATATTATGGGTTTCCTTTTGCTATGCTACAACTTATATTACTTCGAAATTCGTAGCTTAACATGAAGCTTTAATAAAACAAATTCTCTATACTTTACTCCCCATAATAACTAGGCGTTGACGTGGTGTGGTGTAGACTTCACGTATTAGCTCGGTTGTAAGCAAACCATACTACTTAGTTTTCGATGAAACGAACACAAATTATATACCTGCAATTATATACTTGGAACTACTTTTTTTTCGTAACGAGCTTCAAAATTATATATTATATACAAAAAAATAAATTCATATTAAACATCAGCTAATATGCCTGTATATGTATATATTGTACATTAAAAACTTAAAAAGACAATTTCGATTGTTCCAATTTTAAGTCAGACAACTATACGTAATTACCATAAAAAAAAAAGAAGAAATCACGGCTTTAAGATTTCACAAAGTTCTTACGCTGTCGAGTAGATTGTGCCCCTAACTTACAATAACGATCACGTTGCCCGAGGATAAAAATAAGTCGTAAAATATATACTATATAGTAAATGTATGCGGAAAGGGGAAAAATAGGTGGGGATGTATATATATGAGAGAAAAAAGGGAGACGGCCGGAAGGTGCGAGAAAGAGAGAAAATAAAATACAATTTGCAAGGGTTTTCCTCTTTTTTTTCCCGTCCTTCCTTCTCTAAAAACAAGGGGGAAATGCCGGAGAAACATTCGAGTCGACTCCGTTGCCGCCGGCAACATCTACGACGGCCATTGTGCGCACTCATCTCACTCATCTCTTTTTCTCTCCCCGGATATCGTTGCTTTCCACGGGGGCGTTCATTCCGGGTTGTCCCGGCAACGGTCGACTCCGCGGGGACGCTCCTATATCTACACACACACATAGGAGGTATGTATATCTGTCTATTGCCATACTATATACGGACCGGGTACAGTATTGATTTGAAAAGGTAGGTAAACCCGGGAC